AGAGTTTGAATGCCTCAAGCAAGTGTCTAACATGACCGTTTCAAACTATTAATGCGTGTTTTAACTACTTTTCCCAATACGCCTCACAATTAGTAACTGATAAGAAAGCAAATTCTAATACAAGTCCTCATACTTAATTTGAACATTATTCCTATTCGGTAGTTATCATTTTAGTTTCAACAATCAAGCCTCTTATTATAAATTTCAATTTTTATTAAGGATAATTCATTGAGGCACATAGTAGTTTGTCGCTAGCACAGATCTCATGCTTCATTTAACGGTTAATACCGGGTTTGGTTGCTATTAAAGGAGAATTGAACACTTCTACAAACGTGTAATTCACAAAGGGAAGATGATAGAATTAGACTAATGAGGAAAAGGGGTGTTGATGTTGCATCACCTATGTATACAATTTTTACAATAAATGGACACTAATGTTCCCGCCTTTTGCATACAAAAATCTAAGGCCTGTTTGGGTAGGGTGTTTTCTATTTTTATTTTCAATAAAAATAAAAATAACTTTAAAAATGTGTTTGGTAAACTTTTTTATTTTTATATTTAGAGATCATTTTTTAAAATCGAAAAACAACAAAGTTGTTTTCTTCGTATTAATCCATTCTGCCTCGTATTAATTGAATTCGTATTAATCCAATTTTTAACTTTTTTTTTTTGTATTCATCCTTCTAATTCTACTATTCATCCTGTCGTCCCTAATTTCTCCCTAATTGGGATGGAGCGACCAAGTAATCGAGGCGAGAAGGGAAGAATTCTAGGGATCAGTTTATGGGATAAAGTTTTAGGAGAGAGTTTCAAGGATATTGTTTTAGGAATGGAGAAAAAGAGCAATCAGGGAAGGAGGGAGGGATCAAGAATGGAGGGAGAGAGCAATTGGACAACGTGAAGGAGATCAGGGGGAAGAGACAATAAAGGTGGCTGGGATTGGCGGTTTGATACGGCAAACGGATTGAGTTTAGCTAGCTAGGAAGATTGGGAGAAGAAAAAGATGGAAAGAGAAGAAGTGGGGGGAGAGGTAGGCTGGGGCAACAAGGCCACTATGTTGGAGGATATGGTGGGCGGCACAGTGGGACTTAGTCTCCTTCAACATTCAAGCCGACAACTGGCAAGAGTAGATAGCGGGCGGCATGGTGGCTAGTATTGCTGTTGCTTGACATAGAAGAGGGAGAGGACATGGATGATGAACAGTGAAAACTGTTTGCAGTTTAGTCCTTTATTTCTTTTTTATTATTCAAACTGGTCCTTAAAATTTTTAAACCTCTATATAACCTCTAAAATTTCTGATTTCTTCACTTAAAACTCTCATAAAAAAATCCTGAACTCTAATTTCATTCAATTAAATATTTATTTTAAATTAAATAAAAATTGATACATCAAACATATTTTCATTATTTTTATTTTTTGAAAATAAAAATGTTAAATTATACCAAACATATTTTTATTATTTCAAAAATCTAAAAATAAAAATCATTTTCAACAAATAAATATAGAAAAAAAAAAAAGAAAACATTTGTGTAAAAAAATTAATATTTTTTTATCTGAAATAACTAATTATGTTCATTTTTATTTTAAAATATTGACATTAAATATGATACAATTGAAATTAAATGCACTAAAATTAAACTTTGACGTAGTCACAAGTACTCAAAATGTGATTTATGCAAAAAGAGTGCTAACAATACCAAAATCACATAAATTAATAAAAATAATATAATACAAGCTTTAGATTATAAATTTGTTTTACGTGTTATTCTGATCCAATATCAGTTTTTGAGTGTGATAACTTTTTTTTTGTTTTTGTGAAATCAAAGGTATCTCTAAAAACCAGTTTTGACGTAAGACTAATTCTTTTCGAGTTAAGAACATTGAAATGTTAAAACCCTCACTAACAAGTGTGATATCATATTTTATAGAAGAGATTAGAAACTAATTACTAAATAAGTTGAGTTTAAATATTTTGAATTAATGCTTCATATTCAATAAATTGTTATGATCAGTAATTTTCATATCGTTATTATTAAAAATTTAAACTTAAATATTTTGAGTTACTAGTTCAGATTTAATAAATTGTTAGAGTAAATGACTTTTGAGTCATTCAATTTGGGCTCCAAACCTTTTTGAGATGACACTAAAAATTTTGACATTTTTATTATTTAATTTAATAAAATGATTAGATTTATTTTGAGGGGATATTTGGTTAATCTATATAAAAACACGATAACACAATAAATTTGTCTGTTCAGGAGCTGGTTATTGTAAAAATATTAGATAAATAAATAAAACAAACAAGGAAATAGACTCGCAAGTCTATTGGAAGCGGACCTTCAGAGGCTTTCGACGGACCAACTACCGCGAATTAATGTATTGTGAAAACTTGGAATGAAAGATCAATAATCAAAATTATATTTAATGTTAGATTTTGATTTAGTGTAACAGGATTTGATATATATTTATATATCAAACATTTAATATAATTAACTGACTGCGTCAAAGTTTATCATCAAATACACCGGTTTCATCCCGCAAGATGCATGCGTCCTACAAAATTGCCACGTTGCTGTGCTGTTGTCCTCCCGTTCCCTGTATCTGCTGGTTCAACATTACTTGGTTGGTCGGATTGATAAATTAGCATTAATTCCAAGGAACTAGTTTGGGTGGCCACAAAGGGATCATAATATTTCACTCTCCCTCACTCTCAATTGTTGTAATGCTCTCTAAATATAATAATAATAATAATAATAATAATAATAATAATAATAATAATAATAATACAAAAGAATCAAAGTCAAGTTATGCATGTAATGAAATTAGGTAAGACTAAATAAATAAAATGGGTGAATACTAATGTTATTTCTTATGCTTAATTTAAAATTTATTTCTATTTGGTGGTTACCATTCGTTTCAACAATTAAGCCTCCTATTATAAATTTTAATTTTATTGAGGATAAGTCAATGAAGGGCATGATAGTTTCTTGCCAACACAAGTCTCACGCTTCACCCGACGGCTAAGACTTGGTTTGGTTGCCATTAAAACAGAATTAAATACTTCTACAAACGTGTAAGAAAGGGAAGAAAGGATTAGACCAACGAGGATATGGACACTGATGTTGCATAATAGGCAAGTGCATACATCTATAGCTTGTTAGTAGGTTGAATTCGATAAGAAACGATAGCGCAGCATCCAAATAAAGTTTCTTAACTACATAATATTATGTATAATTATATCATTTTTAGTAAATTAAACTCAAGTTTAGGAAAAATACCAAACAAACATGTAATTACCAAAGTATCCTTTCATTTCTTGGCAACAATGGCAGAGGTGAGTGGTGGCCACAGTGAGCAGCTGTGGTGGATGGCAGAGCAATGAGAGATTGTGGCGAGTGGATGGCCAGCAACGACAAGTGGTGGGTGGTGGTGGTGGTGGGGGTGGCGGCCAATGACAGCGGTTGATTGTGATGAGGGGCAGTGGCAAATAGCGGCAGCTACCATTGCCAATGGGTGATGATGGATAGCCTATAAATAGTATGGATAATATTATCCAAAATAACTTGATAAAAATTGAACAAATTATCTCACCTCTCTCCCCTATATAATTTATTCAATGTAGTTTAATAATTATTCTGTTCGAAATTTTTATCTAATTTTATCATTAAGTGTACCAAGCGTTAGAGAACATCAAATAAGAATGGAGAACTTTTATCCATTATTCAATCTATCAACGATTCTAAGTATATAATTTTTGCAATAAAAGGACACTAATTTCTCTACAATTGTTCTTCACCATGCAACAACTGTTAGATCTCTTTCAGACTACTGAAATAGATATACAAATTCAAAGGAAAAAAAATTGAAAATTTATGAAAATTATGAAAAATCCAAAACTGAATTTTAACTGATTGAAATAATGTAAATTGGGCTGTCTAAATTTTGAAATTAAACAAGACTTTTGTAGCCTGGAAAATAACCTTAATATAGAGTAATTGAAGCTAATTTTTACCTTAATTGTGAGGCTCTATCTTGAGAATGATTATTATTGGATATTAAGATTGTTGGTTGAAATTAAGAATGAATATTGCTAGAGACTGTCACTATCAAAACGGTATAAACCGAACTCTTGTGGTAAACATTCTACGTCCGTGACTGCTAAGAAAATTCCCTGGATATAGCCAAATCGATTCGGATTGCAATTGCAAAATAAACTAAGCTTTTCTTTTCTTTTCTTTTCTTTTCTTTTTGCAAGTCCAGAATATCAATTTATGCAAGGGACTAAATTACAAATGTAGCGGGAAGCGGATATAATCTATGCATCTACAAATCACTTCACCTCCAACATGTTCGTTGCACAATCACATCCATGCCCTCTCTCACGACAATTTTAAACAAGCTGTCCGTGAGCAAGTTGCTGATTAGGAGTTAATGATTCTTACGGGTTAATACGTTTAGTCATGTTCACTTTTAGAAGTTTCAACGTTTCTCCTCCTTTCCACTTATTCTACCCACTCCCCCGAAGGTCTTATTTCTTAATTAACAGTTGCTGTTAGAACACCCAGTAGATGATTCCCTTACAAGTTTTATCTCTTGATGCACTTTCCTCTAGTTGCTCATTGTTCTAATCCCAATTGAGAGTTAGTTTGGTGTGCTTTTCGCCACATTATTACCTCTCTATTCTCTTACAAAGGTCAAGTTACATCATCCCTCAATGAGTCTCAAAATGAAACTGTAAAATTAGCCTTGGTGAAAAAAAAGAAAAGGAACCAAATAGAATGATTTAGCTGTAATTAGCAACCGATACGCACTCTCATAGCACGTTATTACATTCAAATACTTATTATTTTTGCCAGTTAGCAGAAAATCCTTGATATCACCTTGATGGTTGGTTGTAAGCTCTACGTTACCTACCATGAACAAGGATTTTGATGTATATGGTTACAAGTCAAACCTCTATTAATGTTTGACATTAAAGCATTTGACAATTCAGAAGATAGAACTTTTCCATCTCCAAAGTCCTCAGCTCAACTATAAATTCTAGTTTTTCAACCGCACAAAATGCATTGCTCGCCAAGACAATGGCCAGGTCAAAGCTTCTCCTCACTTTCTTTCAAGTTACTCTTGTTCTCTCCGTGTTAGGCTTAGCTAACGCATACAGCCTAAAACTTGATTATTACAAAAAATCATGCCCCTCTGCCAAGCACATAGCCAAAGCCATAACCAAAAACTATATTTCCGGGCACCAAGTCTAGCAGCTGCATTGTTAAGATTGCAGTTCCACGATTGCTTTGTTCGGGTTTGTTCATTCTTACCCATGGTTGCCCTTTCTTCTTCGTCACTATATTAGTTTTTCATCTACCAACAAAGTCATATTTGCAGGGATGCGATGGTTCCGTTCTACTGAACTCCACCCAACACAACATAGCTGAGAGAGATGCAAGCCCCAACCTTAGCCTTAGAGGATTTCAAGTTATTGATTCTGTGAAGAAGCATTAGAAAAAAAATGTCCCGGTGTAGTTTCCTGTGCTGACATCCTAGCCCTAGTAGCTCGTGAAGCCGTTTCGCTGGTAAAATTTATGTTTGAATTTGTATATAACTATTCATGAATGTGTTTCTTAAAGTATAAAGGTATAGTTTTAATTCTAAGGTTTTCCATCAGATTGGTGGACCCTATTGGCCAGTCCCCTTGGGACGCAGAGATGGGAGAGTGTCAATTGCTTCAGAGGCCTTTACTAATTTGCCTTCTCCTTCTTTCAACATAACACAACTAAAAGCATCATTTGCCTCCAAGGGCTTAAGTGATAAAGACCTTGTAGTTCTATCGGGTAATTTACAACTTACAGGCTATAATCATATTGCCATAGCCTTTTCAAGTTTCAAAAGCCACACCCCCCTTGATTGCTCTTAACATAAAAAAACGTACTTTTATCAAGAGTAAATTACACTTTTTGCAACACATTTATTCTTAAAATTCTCCAAAAAGTGTCGAATGAAAGCCAATAGTTGATTTTTTTTTAAATAGAAAATCATTGTTCTGAATTTAAAACTTATTTCAAACAGTAAATGACCTTTGGATTAGTTCGTAAATTAAAATGTGAACTCTTAATCCATGCTCTTTTCTAGATTTAGTCTTCCAATGTTTCAAAAAAAAACATTTTTTCATATGAATATCCTAATTTTTTTGCACGTAAGCATTTCAAAAGTCAGCAAGAAACACTTTTTTTTTTTTTTTTTGCACTTTTGAATGCAATAGTTGTATATTCTCGATAACCCTGACGTTTAGCCACATAAAAAATCTGATTTTTCATCTAAGAACCGAAGGCATTAAACATTCTACTTAACAACATTTTTTGGGATTAACTGTATTATAATTACCAACTAGGGAGACTAAAATTATTGTTCACTTTTGTCTTTCTCTGAAGGAGGACACACTATAGGAATTGCTCATTGCCCAGCTTTCTCAGACCGCTTGTACAATTTCAGTGGGCAAGGTGGTACTGATCCAACGATGGACCAAAACTACATTGTTGCGTTGAAGAAAAAATGCCAGCCAGGGGACAGCACTACACTTGTAGAGATGGATCCTGGAAGCTACAAAACATTTGACGCACATTACTACACTCTTGTTAGCAAAAGAAGAGGTCTATTTCAATCCGATGCGGCTCTTCTCACAGACAGCGCCACCAATGCTTACGTGCACCTCCAGGCAACCACAGACGGTTGTACTTTCATGGAGGATTTGCAGAGTCCATGGTGAAAATGGGTCAAATCGGCGTGCTTACCGGCTCTTCCGGTGAAATCCGAAAGCAATGTTCCACCATCAACTAATTAGTATATCTAGTTTTCTTTGTTGCTTTTTTGACTTTTTTTTGGTGAATGAGTGAAGTAAGACAAAAGATTTTACTAGAGAATGTAAAAATTTCACTGCAGAAAAATTGTATTGTTTTACTTGAACTTTTCTTTTGAGTTCAAATACAACTTGAGTACAATATTTATAAGCTAGATTCAACACTTATAGAACAAAGTTATTACTCATAGTCGGATTCCAAATACATAGAGATATGAAGAGTTTTTTTTGTCCATCCCAACGGTCAAGAGTTATGACTTCTTTTCCAAGTTTTTTCCTTGGGAAAATTACAAAATATAATTCTAAAACCCCTCTTAAATGTAATTTTCAGTTCCATCTTGAACTTTTCATACTTCTCGGTTGACACAACTTTAGTAACAAAATCTGTCACTTGATAGTATTTTTTCTTGTAATCATCAGCAATCCTTCATTAAGTGACTAAATGTGATTTAATAATATAAGCAAAAATACTATCCTTTGCACCTCCAGCAAGCTCTTAACCCCGTCAGAAACCGAAACCTCTGGCTCTGAGTGTCTGATTTGAAGCTGCTACCTTTTCTGTTTGGTCGCCGCAGTAAAATTGAGAAGGGACCCGTCACAACCCTGGCAAGAAGGGGTTAGAGAGAGATTCGGAAGCAATGATTCTTTTTAGGAAAACACAAAAGAACAAGAAGTTTGAGAAAATAAAAAGTTTGCTTCTATAATGATGTGTTGAGTCAAACATGAGAGATTTGGTCATCTCTTGATCGTAATCGTATGACCGTTTCATAATATAATCTTATTATATATTCATATTTTTCTCAATAAACCATGTCATTTCTGGGTAGTGTGAACGTGTTTTATTTAAAATTGCTATCTTGAGTTTGTGAATTTTCTTTGCCAAATTATTCATTTCACCTTAAAAGAAAATTATTTTTCTGAATGTAACAGAAATAAAACCCAGTTTGATCATAAGTTTTTTCAAAAAACTATTTTCTGGATAATAATTTTAAAAAACCATACATGCCATTCTTTAGAAAATAACAAAATTTTCACAATTCTCATAAAAATATTGAAAAAACTTACCAAACGGGTTTTATTATTTTTTAAAATCAGAAAAATAATGTTTGTTTAAAATGAAATGAGTGATTTGCAAACACTTCTGCCACTGTTTCACTCCATTATTATCTTCCTCCTGTAGGCAATTAAAATTAGTCCACGGTTCTTTAATCAGGGTTGATGGTTTAGTGGCTTGACTCTTTGAGTTAATATTTTAAATTTTTTAATTCAAAATTTAAAAATAAGGATATTGCAAACTTTTTGAGGCAGAAGTTAAAGGATTTCCATTTTATATATAAAAGATTTAAATGAAAAAACAAAAAAAGATTAATTAAAGATTCAACTTTCCCCCTATTTCTAATCTTCAATGAAATTTTATCACTTCAAAATATTTGATCTGAGTATATATTTGAATTTTTTTTCTTCTTTTTATATGCTCCAATTTGATATTATTTTGAATTGGCTAGTGTTGTTAGGGTTTGTTTGATAAATGAGAAGGGATTTATTAACACCGAGTATAAATGTAAAAAACTTGTATCAAATCTTATATGGTTGATTTGGTTAAAATCAATTGTGTAAAATTTGGTGTAAGTTTTTTATACTTATACTGGTGTCAATTGATCATTCTCTTGATAAATAATTAAAATTGAAAATATTTTTAAACTTATAGATAAACAGAAAGAGAATTGTAAAAAATTTATTGAGAAAGACAAATGTGGGAGATTATTGAGAAAAAGAAAGAAAATTTAGTGAGATTGATTTAAATTTGTCGATAAGGAGAAGAGCACAAATCACTTTATACCCCCTTAAACATTTTTAGCAATTCTATTATCCTCTAAATTATTCACTGTACCATTTATTCTATTAGAATTAACACTACTAAATCAACTCTTATATTTATTCCAAAATCTCTGATTTTAAATACTACATTCTTTAAATATTAATATTTATTTTATAATTGTTAAAATTTTTAAATTTAAGTTAATATGTTTTAATTATTAATAAATATTATTAAATAAATTTAATCTCATATATAAATTAAAACATGACTAAAATTTATTTAATTTTAGATATAAAATTTTATATTTTGAATTTGCAGCAATAGAAACCCATCGCAGAGTCGCCATTTACAAAATTATTCGCCATTCACCGTTCACAAAGCCATTTGTCATTTCTCATATGCAGAGCTCATTTTGCAAAGCCTCTCACAAAGTCAGCATTCGCTGTTTGCCAAGCCTGTCAAAGATTCATTGTTCATAAACTGGCAAACAAATCCCTAAGAAACACGAAAGGATCAATGCAAAATCACCTTATTCACATGAAAAATTCGAATAGTCATGTGAGAAAGTGAATTGATTGCAAATAATTATGTTATCTTACCATTTTTTTTATTACATTTAGTAGTGTTTAATGGTGTTAATTTTTAGGAAGCAAATAGTATATTGTATAATTTAAAGAGATAAATAAGATAAAAAAAAGTTTAAAGGGATAAAATAATTATTTGTCTTGCGGGGAAAGACAGAGAAAAAGAATACTTAAAGCGAGATAATTAAATAGATAGAATTAAATAAGGAGAAAAAGAAAGAACCTAAGGTGTGGTTGTCATGTGGTTGCAAGTCCTCTTCAGGTCTATTTATTTTTTGTTTACTAAGTCTGATTTTGCATGGTGGTCCTCCTATTTATTTCAATTCACCTGTTTATATCTTTAAAACTCTGTACACTCTCAGCTAATTAATACCACCAATAATTTTTTGCGTTCAAATTCCCTTTGTTCTTTATATTAATCGTCCGAGTTATCCCTTATTGTATCAACAATTTAAAATATTTTTATTGTCACTTTCCCTTAATTTGAGAGTAGATTTTATGAAAATAAATATAAAAATAAATTAAAATAAAGTGGATTTTAAAAGTCTTAGCTTTAATTTAAAAAATATCCCACTTGAATCTTATTTTTTTATATAAAAGATTTACTCAACAAAATATTTTTATATTTTTTATAATAAAAAATTGCCGTAGAAAAATTTGCATAAAAATTTTTCGGTTTAGAAGCCATGCCAAGCCAGGCTCTTTGTATTGGACAGTTAAATTAAAAAGTTTTTTAATAAGAGTTAGACTATTTATACAATTATAATTAATTCAAATTACATCTACTTTTAGGGGAGAAATAGATCAACCCCAAATCCGAACAAGAATGTGAGCTTACGACTTATCAAAATATAAAACTAAATGATAAATATTAGAGTTACACGTCAATCTTCAATGGCTTTTCTTAAATAAGTGCTAGGAGTTGCGTGTCTACTTTTTTATGCAGTCACTCCTTTATTAGTGCTATTGTTTCATGTAATTAAAATGATATAGAGTCTTAGCTACACAATATGAATACTAGATAAGTCAAAGGTCATGATATATATGAATATCAAAATACAATTCTAACATATAATAACAGTATTTGATATATTAGAATTTATTTGGATTAAGTCATGGATATATTACAAGATCACGACACACATAAATATCAAAGTACATTTCAAAGATATTCTTGGACCCATACCCATGCTTCATTAATCCCCGGCCCACCTAGATTGTCCCTTTCTTTAATTGGTCATCATTTGAGAACTTGCAAAACGGTGCAAAAGGTGTAGAATTAGTTCGTAAGATTTGACTCTTTCTTTACCAAAAAAAAAATGATTTGACTTTTTCTTCTACCAGATAATTCAAAAAAAAAAAAAAAACGACGCGGAATGTGCAGGGTGGGATGCTAGAGTTCAAGTGCATTCAGCTGACCAAGTGGGACAACTACATGTTGATTGGAAAGAATGATGGGAAGGTGTAGTCCATGTACTCCAAGCAATGAAGAGAGAAGTGGGGCACAGAGAGATTTGACCAGGAGAAATCTATTTTCATCCCTCTAGTTTAAACCCCGGCCCACCTAGATTGTCACCTTCTTTAATTGGTCATCTTCTGAGAACTTGCAAAGCGGTGCAAAAGGTGTAGAACTAGTTGGTAAGATTTGACTCTTTCTTCTACCAAAAAAGAAAAGATTTGACTTTTTCTTCTACCAGAAAAAAAAAAAAAAGAAAAAAAGACGATGCAGAATGTGCAAGGTGGGATGCTAGGGTTCAAGTGCATTTAGCTGACCAAGTGGGACAAGTACGTGTTGATTGGAGGGAATGATGGAAGGTGTAGTCCATGTACTCCAAGAAATGAAGAGAGAAGTGGGGCTGAGAGAGATTTGACTGGGAGAAATTTATTTTCATCCCTCAAATTTAAAACCCTAGCCCACCTAGATTGTCACCTTCTTTAATTGGTCATCATCTAAGAACTTGCAAAGCGATGCAAAAGGTGTAGAACTAGTTAGTAAGATTTGACTTTTTTTTCTACCAAAAAAGAAAAGATTTGACTTTCTTCTACAAAAAAGAAAAAAAAAAGACAATGCAGAACGTGCAAGGTGGGATGCAAGGTTCAAGTGCATTCAGCTGACCAAGTGGGACAAGTACGTGTTGATTGGATGGGAATGATGGAAGGTGTAGTCCATGTACTCCAAGAAATGAAGAGAGAAGTGGGGCAGAGAGAGATTTGACTGGGAGAAATTTATTTTCATCCCTCAAATTTAAACCCTGCCCACCTAGATTGTCACCTTCTTTAATTGGTCATCGTCTGAGAACTGCAAAGTGGTGCAAAATGTGTAGAACTAGTTGGTAAGATTTGACTCTTTCTTCTTCCAAAAAAGAAAAAATTTTGACTTTTTCTTTTACCAGAAAAAAAAATAAAAACTAAAAAAAGAGAGAGAGAAAAAAGAAGATGCAAGAAATGTGCAAGGTGGGGATGCTAGGTTCAAGTGCATTCATCTGACCAAGTGGGACAAGTACATGTTGATTGGAGGGAATGATGGGAAGGTGTATCCATGTACTCCAAGAAATGAAGAGAGTAGTGGGGAAAGAGAGATTTGATCGGATTGAAATCCTCTCAACTTGTTGGATCAATTTGGATAAATAATAATTGTTTAATTAGATTTTCATGTGCTAAAGCCACAGGTTGTGTGAATGACTTTATCACATGATCCAGTGGTTAACAACCCCGGTTGTATTTAATGTTAGATTTTGAGTAGATGAATTTTATTAAGGATTTGATATTATACATAAAAATGTGATGTAATAAAAAAAATTAATATATATATCACACATTTAATAAAATTGATTGGGTCAAAATTTATTATCATATATACAGATCTCATCTTGCAGCATTAATTCACGCAGGAACAAGATGAAAACAAGATGCCGCGTTAGACTGGGTTAGCATAGATTTTTCCACTACTCTCAACTTTAAAATATCTACTCTTCCCTGTTAGATTTCACCGTAACAAAGGGTGAAAATGAGTCAAATAGAACTAAGCAAGTTTCAACTTAGGTTTAATTTATTTTTTAGTGAGCCAAATTTTTTAGTTTTGACTCAACTCATATTAAGTTCATAATAACCCAATTCCGCTCCTTAACTCCCACATAAAAAATATTTCAAAAAATGATAGTTTAGATATCTCATTTAATCAATTACTAATAGCAAGTTAAATATAATTATAAATTTAAAATATATTTATTAATAATTTAAAATAATATCAAAATAAATAATTGTGTATAAAAAATAAGAGTAACCAACTAAAAGCAAATTGTTTAATATTGTAAAGGAAACTTTCAAAATAAAAAAAATAAAAAAATTATAATAATTTTTTTGAAACATGTCATGTTATACTCTCTCTCTCTCTCTCTCTCTCGCTCTTGCTCTCTCTCTCTCTCTCTCTCTATATATATATATATAAACTAACTTACAAATTAAATGAATCGAATATTCTTTAACCCAAACTTGACTCATATTTGTTCGATATTTTATCTAGACTTAAGTTATATTTACCAAATTTATTATAATAATCAAAACACTATACAGTTAAAATATTTTATTCAATATTATCTTATCATATCTTACCTAGTCTAGCTTATCAAAAAAATCCTAAATATACAGTTATTGCAATAAAAGGACATTATTATTTTATCTGGTCGTCCTTCATCGTGCAACATTGGTTTATGGACACACACAGAGAAATGTGCCTAGACGGGTGCATGACTTGTAGAACACACTGAACAAGGATTCTGGGAAGTTCTTTTCAAGTCATAGTTGTAGGGTCACAAGTCAAACCTTCATTTATGTCTAATATTACAGCATTTAACAATTCAGAAGACACAACTTTTCCATTTCCAAGCCCTCAGCGCAACTATAAATTCTACCATTTCGACCCACAAAATGCATTGCTTACCAGACAATGACCAATTCCAAGCTTCTCCTCACTTTCTTTCAGTTTACGCTTGTTCTGTCCGTGTTAGGGTTGGCTTATACGTGTAGCCTAACACTTGATTATTACAAAACATCATGCCCGTCTGCCAAGTACATAGCCAAAGCCATAACCAAAAAATATATTTCCCGGGATCCGACTCTTGCAGCTTCATTGTTAAGATTGCACTTCCATGATTGCTTTGTCCGGGTTCGTTCATTCTTTCCCCATGCTTTTCCTTTCTTCTCCTTCGCTATTTTAGTTTTTCATCTACCAACAAAGTCATATTTGCAGGGATGCGATGGTTCCGTGCTATTAAACTCCACCAAGAACAACACAGCTGAGAGAGAGCATACCCCAACCTTAGCCTTAGAGGTTTTCAAGTCATTGATTTCTGTGAAAAAAGCATTAGAAAAAAAATGTCCCGGTGTAGTTTCCTGTGCTGACCTCCTAGCCCTAGTAGCTCGTGATGCCGTTTTGCAGGTAAAATTAATGCTTCAATTCGTACATCATTATTCGTAGATGTGTTTTTTAAGTATAAATGTATAATTCTAATTCTTTGGTTTCCATCAGATCGGTGGACCCTCTTGGCCAGTCCCCTTGGGACGCAGAGATGGGAGAGTGTCAATTGCTTCAGAGGCCAATGATAATCTGCCATCTTTGATTTCAACATAACACAACTAAAAGCATCATTTGCCTCCAAGGGCTTAAGTGATAAAGACCTTGTAGTTCTATCGGGTAATTTACAACTTACAGGCTATGATCATATTGTCACAGGCTTTCGAGTTTCAAAAGCCACATCCCCCTTGATTGCTTTCAACATAAAAAATGTTCTTTTTAACAGAGTAAATTACACGTTCTGGAACGCATTGATTCTTAAAAATCTAAACAAAGTGTGGAATGAAAGCCATTAGTTAATGCCTTAAATAGAAAATCATTTTTCTGAATTTAAAAACTTATTTCAAATAATAAATCACCAGTGAGATTAATTCATAAATGAAAATTTTAATCCTTAACCGATGCTTTTTTCTAGGCTTGGTCTTCCAATCTTTTTTTTTTTAAAAAAAGGTCATTTTTTTTTCCACATGAATATCCCAATTTTTTGCACATAAGTATTTCAGAAAGTTAGAAAGAGCAATTTTTTGCACTTTTGAATGCAATAGTTATATATTCTTGATAAATTTGAGGTTTTTACATGTAAAAAAATCTGATTTTTCATCTAAAAATCCAAGGCGTTTAACATTCTATTTAAACAACATTTTTTGGGATTAACTGCATTACAATCACAAACCAGGGAGACTAAAATTATTGTTTGCTTTTTTCTTTCTCAAGGAGGACACAATATAGGAATTGCTCATTGCCCAAGCTTCGCAGACCGCTTGTACAATTTCAGTGGGCAAGGTGGTACTGATCCAACAATGGACCAAAACTACATTAATGCGTTGAAGAAAAAATGCCCGCCAGGGACAACACTACACCTGTAGAGATGGATCCTGGAAGCTACAAAACATTTGACGCACATTACTACAATCTTGTTAGGAAAAGAAGAGGTCTATTTCAATCCGATGCAGCTCTGCTTACAGACAGCGCCACCAATGCTTATGTGCAACTCCAGGCAACCACAGACGGTATTACTTTCATGGAGGATTTTGCAGAGTCCCATGGTGAAAATGGGTCAAATCGGCGTGCTCACCGGCTCTACTGGTGAAAATCAGAAAGCAATGTTCTACCATCAACTAATTAATATATCTAGTCTTATTATGAAACTTAAAGAAAGCATAGGAAGTTGAGAAAAGAGACGTAGAGAACGAAAATCTTCCTCTTCTATATTTTATTTAAAGATTAGATGTAAACTTTTGATTTATACTATATAAATGAGAGAAGATGTGTGTATATATACATGAATGAAGGGAACATGTATTTACACATCTACGAATGAAAGAAGACGTCTTAACAAATTTTTGGATGAATATACATACACCCACTTAACTTAAAGATTTATAACACTTCCACTTAAATGTCCATTAATCAAACAAGGTGTCTTGTTAAAATAAGAAAAACTCAATGGGACAAAAATCTAGTGAAGGAAAAAGAGTGCACAATATTTACGGGACACTTTGCATGTTGTTTCATTAAAAACTTTACCAAGAAAATGCATTGGGACAAAAACATGGTCAAAGAAAAAAGAGTACATGTACTGTTACACCCTCCGCATGAAAATATTATTTGATATCCTTCAGACAACACATCCCTGTATTATATATTAGCTTCTCAAATGTTGTTGTTGATATATAATGTCCTTGTAAACAAATTTGTCAAATTAGCACATGAGCGAATTTGTTGAATATTTATATTACAATTCTTTTGAATATTGTGAGTGAATAAGAATTTTGGTAGAATATGCTTCGTTTTATCTCTTTTGACGTAATTTCCTTTAATTGAGATACATATGCTACATTATCTTTTTATAATATTGGTGAAAGCTTTCTTCTAACGTTGAATTACATACATTTTGAATATGTTAGGTTAATGACCTTAGCCAAACACATTCTCTGGATGTCTTATATATTGCGATTATTTTTGTATGATTGGAAGTACTAGTGGCTAAATTTTGTTTTGTTGTACATCATGATGTAGCAATGTCTCCACATGTAAATAAATCTCATTTGAGGTTGAACTTTACATGAATCAAATAAATATTCAACATCTACATAACCAATTAATTGTGATATGGATTATTAAATAAAATACATAGCCACATGCCAATAGTCCATCAAAGATATCTAAATATATGTTTAACACCATTTCAATATCTTCTTATTAAAGAAAAACTAAATCTTACTAATGAACTTATAAAAATACGATATTGGATTGTGTATTATTAGCAAGATACATTAATAGTCATATAGCACTAAGAAATAGTACATAAGGACCAATAAGTTTTTCATCAATCTCTCAAGGAAGAAAATAAACTTTCTTCACTTCAAACGATTTTACAACTGTCACACCCTATTCCAATCTAATAAGTGTGCGTGACAGCCGGGCAAAGGCCAACAATCTTTCAGAATAAAAATTCGACAGCATGTCAGCCCTTGTAACCCTCGCAGTGTCATTCAATTATAAAATCTATGTCCGCGTACTTGTAGTTCGCACATGATATATATATATATATTCTTAAGGAAAACTAGAATTATTATTCCATATAACTTTGCAAAACTAAATAACTGGCAGCAGGTATATCTATGCATATTTTAATCTTCAAAGCATAACCTGTTAATTAATTTACATACTAGTCAGCTAATTAAATAATGCACAACTATTTACATTTCAAAAATTTACTACATCACCTCGTCACTCAACCCCCAAATACAAAATAACAAAATAGTCATGAAGATTATGGGGTCTGGCCACACCTCTACTATTGTGTAGTGATGCCAATGATGCAAAAAAAGTCTTCCTAAGGTTGTTTGCCAAAGTCTGCAAGGTGGAAAAATAATAAAATGAGACAAAGTCCCAGTGAATAGCACGCAAGTTAAACCAGTGGAAACAAATAGGGTTTGATAGCAATAGTATATCTGAGCATAATTCATAAAACATCTCAATAGCAGCAATATTAAAATCATAAAATAAAAAACATAATTGAGTCTCTGAAAGTCTTCAGGTTTTAGAATTTGTGTAAACAAGGCTGCATAATATTTTAAACATGTCATACATAATCCTCTAAAACAAAACTTCCAACAAGAAATATACATGAATGCTCTGGCCTGATGTGCACAATAGGGTAATGTCTGGAGGGGCAGTATGCATGAAAAACATAAAATCTGGGACACAATCTGGCCTTCGTCAGGGCAAGCCATGTCAAAACATGTCCGGTGCTACACGCCGTGCAATTGACACCATGGGTCACCACTCCAGGGCCAACTAACACAGCTTTTGGCATCTTGGCCCCCATTGGGGCGTAAAGCATATGACATCAAAGTATGTAGAATTGTCACCTGACTCAGGTGACTGCTCGACGTCTCATAATAAAACATAACAAACATCATAGCAACATCATAAAGATATCTATATGAAATCAGAAAATAGCTATCTGTTTCCCAATTTCATATACAAGATACACGTGTTGAAAAACAAATTATATCAACTCATGAAAACACATTTTTAATAAAACTACTGAGTTTAAGGGGAGTGCCATTCATAGTATGTATGCTCCTCCTATGGCTCCACCGGACCTAGCTGTTCTGGGTCGTGCTCTTCCCTAATATGTACTCTTATATAAAAATGAGTATACAAATGCAAATGTGAAGTAGGGAAATAAAGATATAAATGCATATGCATGCTCAATTTTTCTAATTAGTTTACTCATTAGTTTTTCTTTTCTAAATCTTGGAAAGGTGCTCTAGTTTAATCCTTTTTTCTTGAAATCCCTTAGCCCCTTTTTGTGTAGTTATAATTAGGTGTACAATTGAGCTCTATTAGAGTTTCTCTAAGGGCTCAAAAATCATTTCCTTCCAACCCTTAGGTTGCAGAAAATTTTTTTGTTTCTTATGGACCTAGTGTTTCAAGTTTAATCCCTTTATAGTCTAAATTTTCTTCTATTTTTGAATCTATTTGAAGACTCTCTTTGGCCCTTATTTAAACACCATTTCGTGGCCCCTCTTGCTAAGGGTGTACTTCTACACAATCATTTTCTAAAACAAAATTTTTGCTGCAGAAAATTTCAGCATCCACTTCCTCACCTCTAACTAGGTTTTACTCGGTTTCGACTTGACTTTTGCTTTCTTTTCTAATTGTTCTTGCTTGGCCAACTTAATCATCCAATCCCCTATTTGTTAACCTTAATTTAGAGTCTATTCCATGCCCTAAAATGTCCAGCCAAAGGTTTTGTTGCAGAAAATTTTTTGCACACCTTAAACTCCATCCTTCATTTTTCTTTTTATTTGTATTTATTTTCTAGATTTTATGTCATTCATGGCTTCTTCTCATGTAAACCAAACCCCTCACCTCTATTTCTCCCCTGTTTTAGCCTCAAACAACACCAAAAAATTCCACAATAAACCATAGGAATACATGTTTTCTTCAAGCACAACAAGGTTACAAGTTATTTTCCAAAAATTCTGACATGTTTCCAGTTCTATATATCAACAACAAACATCTTTGAAAAATAGATTTTTAATTTTTCTTTATGAAATTATTAAATCAAATATATAACAGAAATCAAAAAATAGCTGACTGTTTCATTTTTGAAATTTAATATATAGACGATTTATCAGATACAATCATTATTGAATTTTTTATTTTTTATTTAATAAAAGAAAACATATTTTGAAAAATAACTAAGATTAGGAGATGTCACTCACCTATCGTCCTTGAATCTCTTGATTTTGGCTTCAACAATGTTCTAAATACTCGTACTTTCTCTACCTAGAAATTCATGAAACATCTATGTCTAAATCTAGGGTAATAATCAGTAAGTATAAAATCAAAATTTATTCACTCTCAGAGAACCCATAAATTATTAGTATAAATCCTTTAAATCAATTAATTTTGTTTCTAAACCGGCTTTAAAATCCTTAAGTCAACTCAATTTTTCTTGAAAGTTTTTGAGCCGACATGATCCCCATTGAACTGACACGAACCGACTCCAATTGTTATTAAACTGGGGGTAGTTCTATAAATTGGCATCCATTTTCTTAAACTTACTTTAATTATTTATAAACTGGTCTAAACCAGTCACAAGCCTCTTGAACCGGCCTAAACCGCCCTACATAGCCTTGAACCGGGCTAGTTTACCAAATAAACCTTAAGTTGTACAAATTTATGTTGAACCAGCCAAAATTTGATTGAACCGGAGTGGGAATCTGACCAAAACAGATAGATCCCAACTAAATCTCTTCAGAACCGAAACGAACCAGTCCTAAGTCCTTCAGACCAGCCTAAACCAGTCGTTTTTGTCTAAATTGAACTAAACCCTGGTTCAGTTGAACCGGCCAGACCCGAATTCAGTCGGTCCTTTCTTCATCGCCCATTTCCCCTGTATCAAACCCGGATATTGCTAGGCAAATTCTTGGACTTTACCTGGTGCTCTCCGGCGATCTAGCAGTTGACCCAGGTGGCGTGTCCTGCTGCGAGTCCGACAGAACCCATTTCCAGCTGTGTTCATGGCCGAGTGGCTGAACATGCGTGGCTTTCTTCCCCTGTTCTTTCCATGTTGCTGCAGTCCAAATAAAATGGTAAAATCTCGAAAATTCAAGTTCAATACTTCTTAATTGATGAAATTGACAGGCTACCCTGATATTAAACTCTTCAACGAAGATGGGTAAGCTTCCATTCGAAGGTGGTGATGACCAAAAAAAACCAGGAATCCCGCCTGGTTCATCCGCTCTGTTCCGACAGCTTGCAGAAGGCCCAAAACTGGGATGGGTCTGGGATGAATTTAACTCCCTTCCATTCATTAAGGCTCGTATGCCTTGAAGACTGCATTTTTGGGAATTGAAACTTTGTTTTCGGCCAATTGCTTCCTCAATCCATCGAATTTTACAGAAAGCTTTCGGTTGACAGGTGAGCTCTGGTCTGATTTGAACAGAAAAATCTGGAAGTTTCTCCCTCTCTCCTCTCTTCGTTTGAACTTCAATCAATCTTAGCCCATTCATAGGGCTCTGGTCGAACCCAAAACCTTCAACTAGGTCGGTGACTGCCATTGTCACC